TGCGGCGAATGTACGAAACGCCATGGTCTCCTCTGGTTCCAGCACCTTCTGCCTGGCCGGCGACTATAGCGGGTGCAGCGGATCGTACGGCCCGGCGGTTGTCGGCTACTACAGCCAGGTCGTGAGCTACAATCTTAACTTTGGCTGCCCCTCGTCTTACAAACAGTACAACGACGTCTATGGTCAAGTCAGCACGGACGGATGCGACGTCCTGGACGCGAAGGTCAACTCAGTCCGCTTAGCAGCTCAAGCTGTGCAATCACAGAGCTCGGGCGCAGACGTTCTTGTTCCTTTTGGAGACTTTTCCGATGGGGTGACTCCTCAAACGAACTGCAAGATTTGCACCTGCAGCGGTTGCACTTGTGGAAAGAATGGGTGCCTCTGCTGAAAGGGAAGCTCACTTCATACCATCAAACATTTGCAGCGTACTTTTTTTTCTCTTTCCAACTCTTCCGCCCACCTGTTCAGAATTTCCTTACCTATCGTCCCAAAGGTTTCGTTGCGCGATTGACTTCGCCCACGACCATTGGATGCTCGCTCAATCTCCCTGTTCCCCTATCCTGAGTGTCTTTAGTTCCTTTTGCCGTCCTCCTCGAAAATAAAAATTGCAGTGAAAAACCCCCCGTTCGTGGGTTGTGCCTCGGAAATTCATTGGAAGGCAATCTCGCCCAAAGCGCCAACATGGAAGAAGAAACTTAGGAAGCGTGGGAAACGAATCAGCATGGACTTGAAGAATTCAAAGTCGCGCAGTTCTAGGCTCACACAGCCACCAAGTGGAGCGACGGGTATTCGGGGCATTTCCAGAATGCGAACAAATAAGGAACACAAAGACGAAGCAATCGTTGCCGATCGTTGGCATGACAAAGAGGGCGACGTCGCCCAAGGCATTTGTCACGTGACCTGTTCTTTTGTGGTGCTTTGAACCGACTCCGTGTGAGTTGCGAAGTCTCGCAAGCCACTCCTTTTACAAAACCAAGAAAGAAAGCAAAACGCAACAGCCAAAAAGGAGTACATAAAAACAAAGCATTACAACCACTGTATCGAAAAAAAAGTATCCTTAAGTAGCGTGCAGTGTACAGAGAGAAAAGTGGAACATGCACAACAAGGGGAAAAAAAAAACAAAAAACCAAGGTAAAGGAAAAGGAGAACCTCTCTTTGGTATTCAACTCGCCCTCTGCATTTCAAGGGCTTCCGACGGCGCGACGATAAAACCGCCGAGCAAGAGATCCGCGTGCGCCATGCGGTACGCTTGGTCGACTGGACCACGCTCTCGGTCACCGGCGCGCTGCGGGCGCCGTCCCTCCTCCTCGTCGTCGTTTTCGTTTGCGATTATTTCGCGCGCGTCGTCGTCGTCGCCGTCCTCGTCCTCGTCCTCGTGCACGTCCTCGCGGCTCATGTGGGCGTTGCGGATGGCGCGCTCGAGCCGCCGCTCGTTGGCGGCGGCGACCTGCGCGCGCAGCTGGGCGAGGGCGGCGCCGACGGCGGAGAAGAGAACGGCGGCCTCGTCCATCATGTCTTTCATTGCCTTTTGCTCGCGGTCTTGCGTGGTCGCGGCGGCGGACGCCGCCGGCGTCGTCATGTGTTTCTGCGCGCTCTGCGCGCGATCCAGCGTGCTTGCGGCGGACGCCGCCGGCGTCGTCATCTCCCTCGTCGCGCTCTGCACGTGATCCAGCGTGCTTGCGGCGGACGCCGCCGGCGTCGTCTCTTTCACCGATCTTTGCTCGTGCTCTTGCGTGGTCGCGGCGGCGGACGCCACCGGCGTCGTCGTCATCTCTTTCATCGCGCAGCTGTGCGCGTGCCCCCGTTTTGCCCCCCTCCTCGCGTCAGGACCACCCGAACCCGCCGTTTCAAGCCTTCTCTCGACGCGCCGGACGCCGCGCAAAAACTTGTCTTGCCCCTTCGCAAACACGTTCCACGCGCGCTGGCATGCGTCGACGATGGCGCCATTCGCGGCGGTGATGGCGCGGAGGGTGCGGAGGTGGCTCTGCTCGACCGAGGCGGACACGGCGTGCATGATGCGGACGATTTTCCAGATGCGCAGGGCGACGATGGCGGCGGCGTAGGTCTGGTCTGGGTTCGGGTTGGTTGTGTATTTGAGAGTGAGGGAGACGACTGAGGGTGGTGGGGGGGCAGAGGTTGTTAGTATCCTCGCAGGACGCTTTCGGGACGGGAAAAAAAAAAGTGACTAGAAGGTAAGCGGCTCACCGAGCGAGCTGAATACGACGAGTGCGTCAAAGCTGATCACGACGGAGCGAAACATGCGGACGCCCTCAACGTACAGGTGCAGAAGGATGTCGGCGGCAAAAACGAGCAGGAGCGCAGTCGACAGCCAGAATATGGCTTCCTCGGTAACAGCCAGAGCGTGCGACGGCGGGAGGTTTGGGGTGCATGTTGGGCCGGCGGCGGGGGCGGGTTCGGCCGCGGCGCGCAGGTTTGTGTTGTTGTTGTAGAAGAAGGCGGCAGCGGTGGTGGTGGTGGTGGTGTCTTGAGCGGCGCGGTCTTCGAACTCGGGAGTGCAGGTGGAGTTTAGAGCGAGGACGAGGTCGGCAAAGACGAGGAGGAGGTCAAAGAGGACGAGGGAGATGATGGAGAAGTGGAAAGCGTCCGTGTAGATGAAGGCGGCGACGCGGCGCTTCGCCGGTGAGAAAGCGGCGGCGACGGGTGGGGCGGGCGCCTGGGAGGATGCGTGCATAGTGGGGTGGGGTGCGTGCGGGGGTGTGCGTGCGTGCGTGCGTGTGTTTGTTTGATATTAATGTCGGTTCTGTTCTTCTTCATCTTCTTCATCTTCTAAATCTTCTCAAACAAGCAGCAATCAACCAAACAAGCAATCAACCAAACAATCAAACAACAAAATCAATCAATCAATCAATCCGCCGGCCCGGCAGTCTGGGCAAGTTCCGGGCGGCCGGGGGCGCGGGGCAAAGCAGGCCGGCTTTTGTTTTGTTTTTTTCGGCTCAGCCTTTGCTTGCGACGACAACTTGACCGTTTGTTTGTGTTCTTGTTTTATTTTTTGTTAGTTTTGTTAGTTTTGTTAGTTTTGTTAGTTTTGTTAGTTTTATTTACGTTGTCGTTTACGCATGTGCTTCTTGTTGCTTGCTTGTTGTGTTTTGTGTGTTTGTTTGTGTCTGCGCCAGGCCAAAATTTTGCCGAATAATTCTTTTTTTATTTTTTTATTTTTTTATTTTTTTATTTTTGGTTACGTTGGCTGCGACGCTGCACAGCACAAGACCGTGTTGCAATCAAATAAATGGTCATCAGCCGCGATCCATTTGTGAAGCTGCTGATAGAGAGAGAGAGAGAGAGAAAGAGAAAGAGAGAGAGAGAGAGAGAGAGAGAGAGAGAGAGAGGGAGACTGTGTGTGTGTGTGTGTGTGTGTGTGCGTGATGGTTGAGCCTTTTTCGGGGGCAAACAACAATGTGTGCACAGCCCGCGCGGGTTCGAGTCCGAAGCCCCCCCACTATCCCCCTTCGGATTGTAATCCGAAGGGGGATGATTGTAATCCGAAGGGGGGAGCTATTTACAGCCGCTGAAGAAAAAAATACCACAAAAAAAGAAAAAATATTTATTTACGGACAGGATTCATTTATTTCACGCCGGGGAACCCGAAAAAAAAAAAAAAAAAAAAAAAAAAAAAGAAAAAAAGTTGGACCCAGCAAGCCAGCAAGCCGACATGCAATGCGGCCCCTGTCCGCCGGTCTCTCGCTCACTGGTTTGACTAATAATCATTTCCGTACTATTTTTTTGAGCACCCGCGCGAAAGCCAACCCGCACAGGGATGGCCTCACGTAAGGCGTCGCTCTGCGTACGTATTGTGGTGGAGGGGCAAGCGCAGACCTCACATTTTCAAAACTTGCAGATGGACAAAACCAAAATAAAGCGAATAAAGAGAAAGAACCCTCTCAACTTGTTGTTCAGAGAAACCCTGCAACAAAGCCATCCAAAAGCCCAACCACCACAAGAAAAAAAAAAAAAAAAAAAATAAAAGAAAGCAGGGCAAAGTCCCCCGCGGTTTTGGCGAAAAAAAAAAAAAAAAGAACAAAGAATCATCACCGGCTCAAACCGCCCTTCAATCGTCCACAATCCCTCGCGCAGCGGCGCGCAAGTTCATTCCCTTTTCACACCGCCACCTGCGAGCTGCGCAGCAACCGCGCCCATCGTCCCCGCCAGCACCCTCAGCTGATCCTCGACGCGCCCGGCGACGCTCTGCAGTTCTGCAGACAGCTGTGCAACGGCGCCCAGCGACGCTTCGAGCCGACCAGGGCTGATAACGGTGCTGCTGCTGCTGCTGCTGATTGCGGTCTCGTTGCGACTGCGCGCAAAGGGTGTAGTTCCGGCACCCCTCTCGCTCGCTGCTGCTGCTGGTGCTGCCGTCGTTGCTCGCAGAAACACCTCTTCCGTGCGCCTTGGATGGGGAAAGGCATCGCAACGCATGACGAGCGAGCTGCTAGCCGATGTGGAGGAGAAGAATGGAGGTGGGAAGAAAAAAAAAAACAACCAAAAAAACAAAAAAAAGCGCAAATTCAATTCGTATGATTTGGTGGCAAAGTCGTTATTTCACACCACCAGCAAAGGCTTTCCTTTGGCGCACAGCTCCATTTCATTTCAACGCCGAGAGGGACTGCAAGTCCAGTGTCGGCGCCCCAGTCCAATTTAGTTTTCCGCAGGCTCAATTCTGCGCTACCTCCGTGTCCGAGGGTAAACAAAACAAACAGAGGGGAACGTCCTAAAAAAAAAAAAAAAAAAAAAAAAAAAGACTGGTGTGTTGTGTGATTATACCATCCTTAACAAACATAACTCGCATCTTCTCCAACACCGGCTGACTCTGCACAAAAAATTCGTCGTCACTGATGCGTGTTGAACTGACCGCGTGTCGAGTCCCTGCGAATGCGAATCCGGAAAGCAATGAAAACGACCAGGTAGGAGGATAGCAAGAGGCGCCTAAGTCTACCAAATGTGACGGGTGGCGGACCCTTCATAATAATGAACTAGCAGTAGAAAATCGCTACCGGGTGGACTCGAACCACCAACCTTGCGGTGAACTGTAAGATTCTCATCTAACAGCCGCACGCGCTAACCAGTTGCGCCACGGCAGCTTGTGATTTGTTCAACTAAGCTGGCAACTCTCTACGGAATGGTGGGCCAAATTCCGAACGCAAGGTAACGGCGCTGCTTAAGTCACGTGGCCGAAAGCGGCCAAAGCGACAGACGAAAGAGCAAAACCGTGGCCAAACTTTTTTTTTTTCTTTCTTTATTTTTTCGGTTTTGGTTCCCTCCAGCAACCGCAGCTGGCTGCATTATGCCTCGCAGAGAAACGGAAAAACTGAGCCGAGCGAAGCAAGTGAAGAAAAAAAAGGAAAAGGCGCCAGAAACCTGAAACGGGAGGCAGCAGTGGAGAGAGCGGGAATAAATGCTACCGCCGCAGTCGAACGAAAAGAGCAAGCAAAGGCCAGCGCGGTAGAGAGGGCAGCCACGAGCGAAACAAAAAACGAGAAAGGAAATAAACGTAAAGACAGGGTAAGGGTTAGCGGCTTAGAACAACGCGCCACCCACGGGGGTCAACCAAACCTTGTCGCAGGGAAAGGCAAAAATACAATTGTGTCGGAAGGCGAGGGGGGGAATCGCAGATGGAAGAAGCGCGCAGCGCGGGTCCAGCTTAATAATAGGGTGGCTTTGAAAAGTCTGTTGGCACTGGCGGGTGCCAAAGCCCAACGAGGAAAGGTGTTGGAAGCAAAATAAAATAGTCACATACATACAACGAAAAAAGGGTCACACCAAAAAGACTTCACAAGTGAACAGGCCTGGAGGCCGGGGGGTAGGGGGAAAGAGTCCAAAAGGGGAAAGCGCACCAGTGGATCACAAAATCAGCCTTGCAATCTCCAACCTCCTCCGCGTCGCCATGGCTGCAGGCCCGCTGCCCAAGCTACGGCCCCTCACCTCCTTCTCCGCCGCCGCGACCGCCACCGCAATCGGCGACGGGCCGGCGCCAATGCCCGGTCCGGCCGGAAGGGCCGGCAAGCCGCGCAGGCCGAGGTGAACGAGCCTGCGGCACCGCGCGACGAGGTCCCTAACGGCGGCTTCCGAGCGGACGGCGCTGCACGGGTACAGCACCAGCGACTCGAGGTTCGGGCAGTGTCGAGCGACGGCGCGCACGACGCGGTCCGTCGCGGGCCACCCGAGCCCGTCGATGCCGCGGAGGAACCGGCCGCGGCGGTCCAGCAGCTCCGTGAAGATGGACTCGAGCGCGTGCCGTAGCTGCGCCGCCATTGCCGCTTCGGCTGCAGAGCCGCCACCGCCGGTGCTGTTGTTGCTGCTGCCGGGAAGCGGCGTCGGTGGCACGAAGCGGAACGCAAGGTTGCGCAGGCTCTGGCCGTGGTCGATGAGCGCGCGAATGGCCGCAACAGGTCCGTGCGGAGGGAGCGGGCCGAGGTCCAGGTCTTCAAGCAGAGGGCAGCCGGAAAGGACGGCCGTCAGCGCTTGCGCTGTTGCGTTGCCGGGAACACGGAGGGCGCGGAGGCGCGGCAGCCGAGAGGCGATGGCGTCGAGGATAGCAACCGGCGACAGGTCGCTCGAGGTGGCGACGCCCGCGGAGCCAAGTGCTGTGCAACCTACCAAATTGACCGCCTCGAGCAGTGGGGAGCGCGTGATGAGGGTGATGATTTGGCGTGATTGCACTGTCTCGCGATTTGAGTGCGCGGATGGAGAGGACCTCGGGAACTCGTTTTCGTCCATGTCGGCCCCGTAGGCAGCAACCGCTGCCGCCGCCAGCATCTCCAAGTTGCCGTTTCCGGTTCCATTCACCAACTCCAATCGACGAAGAGCAGGTCCGGACGTGTTGGCCATGAACTCCATCACCTCTGAATCGACCCGAACGTCAATGCCTAAGGCTTCAAGACGGGAAAAGGTCTGCGCCAGCGGCAGGAGGCCGACCGTTTGGTCAACTTCGCCCGCGGTCCACTCGCTCGTCGGGGCGGGCTCCAGCGCATCGCCGACTGAGTGGATAGCCAGGCCTGTAACCTTGGAAGCTCCCGTTCCACACAAAATGTGCTGCAGCGTGGCCAAATCGGGAGAGGTGGTTGTAAATGCCAGCAAAACGGTGTCGAGGTTTGGACACAGGCTGATGGCGGCGTGAAGCATATGCACGCATGGGACCGCGTCAAAGGCTCTAAAGTCGAGTCGTTTCAACGTCATGCTGTGGTCAAGGCCGCCCAGTTGTGGAATCAGCTGGGTGATGAGTCGTTCCAGAGCGGAAAGAGAAAACACTTCAGGATCTGTCCACTTGAACGGCGCGCCAGTGTTTGCAGCGCTGAAATCCGAGTGCCGCGACGCGACGCTTTCCACTTCCTCTCGTTCGCGAAGCCGGGCAAGTTGTGGAGGCATCGCGCCAGCCTCGGGGCGCGGTGTGGAAGGAGAAGGTGATGATTCTGGAGTTGCCAGTTGGTAGTCGTGAGTTGGATCAATCACCGCAGAGGACGGACCCAGCTCCGAATCTTCGGACGCGGGTCCTTGCGGGGCCGTCTCGACAGCCGCTGAGGGGTCCTCAGAGGCAGACGAAGGGTCGACCACCGATTGGTAGGAAGGGGGCTTCGGCGACGTTGACGTCCCGCCGCCTCCGTTGCCGTTGCCGTTGCCGTTGCCGTTGACTGCGCCATTTTGGGGTGTTGTCACGGTGTCGCTTTGGGTTTTGTTGTTGTTGTTTCTGGCGTCGTTCGAACGGTTGCTGATAATCTCTTTGAGCATCTTTCCAGGGTCCAAGGCGGCCGATCCGTGAAGCTGCAGCCAGATCTCTGCGGCGGCGATGGCGGCCTCGACCTGCGACCGACGCGGTCCGCGGGCGATGCTCGGCTTGAAGTCGGCATTTTCGGGGTTGAGGAGATCGAGGAAGGAGTCGTTTGGGAGGTCCAGCGCAAGGGTCTCCTTCAGCACTGGTGTCCATGTATGTTCGCGACGAAAAACGCACGCGCGGGTGAGGAACGGCATATATCGAGGGGAGGGGGTGTGAGGGGGGGGTTTGAGTTAGCCGCGCTGCAGCAGCACAGTGAGCCGCAATTGGGGGAGGAGAGACCGTGGCAGAAAGAAGGGTTCGGAGAGAGAGATGGGCGACGTATGCGACTTACGAGCCAGACAAAAGCGAAGAACAGGCTTGACCGTATCCATGAGAGGGAGCGAGAGGGAGAGAGAGAGAGACGAGAGAGAAGGAGAGAGAAGGAGCGGGGAGAGAGAGAGAGAGAGAGAGAGAGAGAGAGAGAATGGCGGTGTCCACGCCAGCCGTCAATGACAATGGGAGCAGGAGAAGGAGGAGAAGGAAGAGCGAGAGAGCGAGGACGTGCGGCCACTGGTGAAGGTGGTTGCGGACGGGCCGGTGAAAGCGGTGAGAGCGGCCAGCGGCGATGTGTCTAGTGTCCTTCTGTCTGTCTGTCTGTCTGTCTGTCTGTCTGTCTGCCTCTCTCTGTCTAGATAGATGGTGGATTCAAGCTCTAAAATTTATTTTTCCCCCTTGCCTTATTCTGACCGGCTGCATTCCTTGCAAGGCCTGGTGAACAAAGAAAGCATTACTATTGCAGTACAGCGTCCTCATTCCACTGGCGTTCGCAAACCCGAACTCTCCCCGCCATAACAAAACCTTGAGGGAACGGAACGCCTCGGCGTCCAACCCAGTATCTCCCAAAAACTGGCTCCAGTCAATCTAACAGTGCGTCCTCCTCTCCCGGGTATGTGAGCTCCCACAGGAATGAGAGTTTGTAATACAACTCGCAACCCTTGAATATGAAGACGGGAACGTCGAGCGAGGTGTCGTGCACTCCAAATACCTCATCATTCTTGAAAGCGAGTCCGCTTGAAACCGCCGCGTTCCCCGATCATCGAGGGATGTACCGTCGCCCGAAAGGGGACGCCCTCGGCGGTCACCGCCGCTGACAAAACACCAGTAGTTTTCCCTATCAGGTGTCATCCACAAGGTTGAGGCCGGAAAGCGGGCAAACTCTCCACGGAACCGGGTCGCGTTTCCCACGCACTTCAGTATCGTTCGGATCGTTCAAAATGTCTTTCCGGGAGCAAGCCAGATTGGGCGGCGACGGAGACCCGCGATTCCACGAACGCGGTTTTTTGAATTTGGCGAGGTAGAGCGACACAGATCGCTCGAAGGCCAGAAGGGAAATGATCAGAATGAATTGTACGTGGCAGAATTATTCGGTAACCATACCCCGCAGGCAGTGCTCAGCTTTGCCTACTTGTCGCCCCACCGCTTTTCTTCTGGGCTGGTCTTCATCCCATGGAAGCAGCAACAACGACACACCAGGAGGTGGTGTCCCGTTCTCAACATCCTCCAGGGAACTGGGCAGCTTCGAACAGATTTCGAAACACCGGTGTCAGGTCTGACGAATCTGCAGCTGAGGAGTCTCGCATGGAGGGCCAAACTCATCGTTCCATTCGGCAGACTCTCGTAGCAGACCGATACTCGGAATCTTTTCTAAAAGCTGTGTCAGACGATGCGTTGGGAGCCGACAAATTGTAAGCCCGCCCTTGCGTCGGCCGAAGCGCAGTAAAATGGACCGTTGGAGATGAATTAGCAATTGGATTGAAGAACTGTAATACACATCGATGTGCGTGATGTATCGTGAAGCCCGAAAAATTCAAATTTTCATTACGCAGAAAAAACCGGCAACACCAAAGGGAGAACGGCGATTACCCAAAGATCGGGATCTTGGGCACGCGCCTTTGACGGGGTCGCTTTCGCCTTCCCTTAAGCCCAAGGCTCTTCTTTGCGGCCTTCCACCCCTCTTTTGCACCTTCGTTCGCGAGCTCCTCGGCACTCTCCATCAGGATGCCCCCGAGAAACTCGTCGGCGATGTCGTCTTGATCGAGCGTCCCGCTGTCGTCATACTCTTGGGTGTCGAGCGCCTCGACGTACTCGGAGAAAGACTCGTCGTCGACATACCCTTTGAATTTTTATATTCGTGGGGTTAGTTGACGATGCGAAGAGGCCCCAAAGCGACGACCGGCTCCACCTGATGTACCGTCGTTCTGAGACGATGCTGCTGAGTCTGCCGCCTTGCTGTGGTAGCGGTGTTTCCTCCTCATCCCGTGCAGCTTCCTT